GATTTCCAGCAATGGGCGCTCCCGCGGAGCGGAGGCCGCGAGGGGCTGGGCCGTACCATGTTCCCGACCGGGGGAGAGCTCGACTCACCCAGGAGCTGGGAGGGGGGGCAGCGACGGAAGCCGGAGTGGCGGCGACGCCGGACGGAGCCCTTTCAGAGTCCCTTTCGCGGTAGACCTTGTAGAGCCGGGGGCCGAGGACGCAGCTCAGCAGCTTCGCCATGGCCCCGGCTCGGGCCGCTGCTCTCCCGCAGCAGTTCCCCTGGAGCCCCGCCCTCCCCGGCCTCCAGGTGCCGCGCGCCCTGACGTCAGCACGTACAGGCCCCGCCTCCAGCGAGCGGGGACGCTCCGCACGCCCCGAGACAGGGGTCGAGCGGGGACCTACGGGTGCGGCGAGGGTCAGAAATTCCTCGGAGGAGTTCCGAACGCGGGGCGTTAGCAAGCTGCGGGGCGCGGTTCCGTCTCTCCAGCCCTTAATACCGGAGGCGCTCGAGCGAAACGAGGCAGGGTTAGGGTTAGCAACGCTTGACAAGGGCAACAGAAAAAGGTTAGGTTCTGGGAATGCATCTGATCAAAGAAACGCACGATTTTATGGAGAAAAAATATATAAAGTTTCTGAAAGAGGTAAACGACGGCATGAATAAACGGAGAACTACACCGTGATCATGGATAGAAAGGTTGAGTATAGTTAAGATGAGTGAAATACTGGTAAAAAAAGAACATGGATGAATTATCTCTCTTAAGCATGGGCAGATCTCAAAACCATAACGTTGAGCGGGGAAAAAAAAAGCCACAGCCCGGCCGGCATGGCTCAGCGGTTGAGCGTCGACCTAGGATCCAGGAGATCCCGGTTCGATTCCCGGTCAGGGCACAGGCCCGGGTTTCGGGCTCGATCCCCAGCAGGGGCGTGCAGGAGGCAGCCGATCAATGACTCTCTCATCATTGATGTTTCTATCTCTCTCTCCCTCTCCCTTCCTCTCTCTGAAATCAATAAAGATATATTAAAAAAAAAAAAGCCACAGATTACATACAACATGCCACCATTGTATAAAGTTTAAAAACACATAAAATTTAATGAACAACTGAAAGATAAAGGGCAAGTTTGAAAAAGTGTTACACAGCAGAGAGGATCTTTAACTGAAACGGTAATATTCTGCTTCCTAACACAACACAGGCTTGATTTTTCTTTGTGCCTTACACCTACATAAGATACACACCCTTGAGCTTTTCATTGCAGTGAACACATACACAGGAAAGTGCACCAGCTGAATATATCCAGGCCTCAGCACCAGATCCAAAACACCATTAACCCCTAGCAGACCTCTGCATTCACTACCAGTCAATACCACCCCAGTAAGGGTCACCACAACCTTAATTCCCAACCTCTTAGCTTACTTTTGCCTGTTTGTGTACTTTATCTAAATGGAATCATTTAATATGTGCTTTTTGTTTCAGGCTTCTTTTACTCTCATTACGTCTGTGGGATTCGGCCTGGCTGCCTGCCACGGTGGTTTGTGCATCCTCAGTGCTGTCGACGGTCCTTGTGTAAATATGCCACAGTCTATGTAGCCACTATACAGCCGTACATTAGATGCAGTCTTTGGTATGCATGGACTATTTTACCAAAAATTTTTTTAAATAAGTAACCTTTAATAATAAATAACACATTAAGAACCATCAGAGCCATATGAAGATCTGTCTTGAGAGCCCTGCCTGGGGCAAAGGCGTGAATCAGTGAATTTTCCAGGCCCTTGCTATTCCTCCCCTTGAGTAATAACTGAATATACTCATCAGAGGCTGATGAGAAGAGGCCTGTGGCATGCCAAGCAGCCCCAAGGAAAGCCATTTTAAATCATTTCTGAAGTACGACTGGGTGTGCAGTCTCATGCTGGGTTCCGTGGAGACCAACATGAAGGCTCAGTTTCTCCCCTCATGGCTGGCATCTCTTAGGGTGGAGAAGAGAGCGCTTCCAAACTGGCGGGAGATGGACAGCTGTGACCCCTTCTGTGCAGGCTTCTCAGCACGGAGAGTCGTGGATCTGGGTCCTGCCAGGAGGCTGTCTTTGCAGTGGCCTGGACTGGGTTTTTTTCCCATCAGGACAGAAAGGCAGTGCTCACTTGTTCCCCAGTAGACTTGCAGCTAGACTTTATCTCTCCAGCTTTCCCATCCCCTCCAGAGGCCTACGTCACTCCAGACCAGGGAGTGTGGGCCTTTATCTGGCCTCCCTTTCCTCCCTGGGGACACCAGGTCCCAGGCAAGAGAGCTTGAAAGGCTCTCCCATGGCAGTCTTCTTCCTTCTCCTTCTGCCCCTCTGTGGGCCCCCGCAGGCTGCTGCAGGTAAGGAGCAAGAGGCGGGGTATTCTGCAAGGCTGTGAGGGACTGCCGCTCCTTCTCCTTAGAGGCCTGGGGCAGGCACCTGACTCAAGAAGATAGATTTCCCCCAATTGACCTCCCCCTGTCTCTAATACTGGGGTAGACCCAAAGACCCTGAGGGTCCAGGTCATGCACAGTTTCCTTTAGAAAGTAAGAACAGGAGCCCGGGTGGCGTGGCTCAGCAGTTGAGCATCAACCTAGGATCCAGGAGATCCTGGTTCAATTCCCAGTCAGGGCACATGCCCGGGTTTCAGGCTCAATCCCCAGTCGGGGGCACATAGAGGCAGCCAATCATTCACTCATCATTGATGTTTCTCTCTCTCTCTCCCTCTCCCTTCCTCTCTCTGAAATCAATAGACATTAAAAAAAAAAAAAAAAAGAAAATAAGAACAGGTGAGTAAATGCTTCCAGAAAAGGAGAAATGAGAGGAAGAGTATGGGTATTTGCCAACTATCCCAGCCTTTTCTCTCTTGCCCTCAGATTTCCTCACTCAGTGGGAGAAAGGAGGGGAAAGTCCTACCCATTTCTCTCCACCCACATTTTTTGTAGCTGTCGCTTTAGAAATGTGCTTACAGCCAGACCAGTGCTGGGGGACTACCTAAGGGAAGGAGGCCAGGGATTGGAGGTCAAGCTGAGGGGTGTTGACCTCATGGAGGTCTCTGGCCTCACACAAGCCCCTCCCTACAGACAACATCCAGCCCATCTATGTGGCCTTGGGGGAAGCAATGGAGCTACCATGTCCCTCACCACCCATCCTACATGGGGATGAACTCCTGTCCTGGTTCCGCAGCCCTGCAGCAGGCTCCTCCACTGCCTTGGTGGCCCAAGTCCAAGTGACCAGGCCAGCCCCAGACCCTGGGAAACTGGGAAGGGAATCCAGGCTCAAATTGTTGGGGAACAACTCTTTGTGGCTGCAAGGGTCCAAGGAGGGAGACGCCGGGCGGTACTGGTGTGTCGTGCTGGGTCAGCGCCACAAATACCAGAACTGGAGGGTGTATGATGTCTCCGTGCTCAAAGGTGAGTGGGAGCATGCAGACCAGGGGCCACTGGGAGATGGGGAAGCCAAGCAAGGAACTGAGGGGTCCCTCTCTCCCCACAGGATCCCAGTTATCTGCAAGAGCTGCAGATGGATCCCCCTGCTCTGTCCTTCTGTGTTCTCTGGTCCCTGCCAGACGCCTGGACTCTGTGACCTGGATGGAGGGAAGGGGTCCTGTGAGGGGCCATGTGCAGTCCTTCTGGGGCGATGGGGCTGCCCTGCTCATGGTGTGTCCTGGGGAGGGGCTTCCTGAGTCCAGGGGCAGTAGACCAAGGACCATCCGCTGCCTCATACCTCAGAACAAGGGGATCAGCTTTAGCCTGGCAGGTAAACTGAGAGAAGACATGGGAAGGGATGTTCCCTCTGGCACAGCCACACCTGCTGGCTAGGGGAGTGGGTGGGAAAGGAGGCGAATTTGTTATTGGACAGGTCAGGAGGGGTGATTGCTGGTGGAGCTGACCGTAGTCTGTAGGAGGAGGGCTTTTTTTCTCACCCACTGAATCCAGAACAGAGAAGGGGATGGTTAAGCCAACCTTCTGGTGGAACAGAGCAGAGCCCAGAGGGAGAAGGGTTCTGGTGGAACATGTCATTGTTCAGAAACAGGCTAACCTGTGATCTGTGGGGGATATCCCATAGCAGAGAGGAAGAAAATAAGAGTTATTGCTGGGCAGTTGTCTATTGAAGAAAGGACATGTGCCCTGATGTTATAAGGACATGTGCCCTGATGTTATAAGGACATGTGCCCTGATGTTATAAGGACATGTGCCCTGATGTTATAAGGACATGTGCCCTGATGTTATAAGGACATGTGCCCTGATGTTATAAGGACATGTGCCCTGATGTTATAAGGACATGTGCCCTGATGTTATAAGGACATGTGCCCTGATGTTATAAGGACATGTGCCCTGATGTTATAAGGACATGTGCACTGATGTTATAAGGATATGTGCACTGATGTTATAATGGCCCGTTGATAGTAAAGGCAAAAGGAGAAAAAATACAATTGTTTTACCAGAAAAAGTCCATTATACTGAGAAAGAATGCTATTGGATGTGGAATAACCCATTTACAAGGGAGGAGCAAATGGCCATTATTCTGATAAGCAAAGGCCAATAACGGCAGCCTCTGGGCCTTATTTCCCTCTACGTCCACAGCACCCACTGTGGGGCTTGGCGCGTGGTGGGCACTCAGCGAATGCTTACGGGTGAGTGACTGGAAGAATGAATACATGGACGGCACTTTATTGTTCTCGAAAGGGTGGATTACTGTGAAGGGTATGAGGAGAAATGAGTTATGGCCGGTGGTCTGCTCTGGAGCCAGCTGTCCATGTGTGTTGGGTGTGGGGAGGCATTGCCATTCTCCATCCATGTTGGCTCACGGGGCCGGGGTGAGAGAGCTGGAAAGGGGCAAAGTGAGGGATGAATATTGGGGGCAAGGAAACTTATGAAGTCTTCTTTGGGGAGAGCCCACCAGACTGTGGGAAGCCTCTCTTTGGGGCACAGGGACGGGCTCCTCGCTGCTTCCCTCATTCTCTCGCCCTTACTGCAGCCTCTACGGATGCCTCCCCTGCCCTCTGTGCCCCTTCCATGGCCTGGGATGTGCCCTGGATCCTGATGCTGTTGTTCACAGCAGGCCAGGGCTTCACCATCCTGGTCCTCAGCATCATGCTCTGGAGGCGGAGGGCCCAGGGGGCTCAGTGCAGAGGTAAGTCCCTTCCCCCCAGAGGGAAGAAGAGAGCGTGTGGGTGCGAGGCAGAGGGTTGAGCTCACGTTTTGCCTTTGTACCCCGTCTTCTCCAGGGAAGGAGGGATAGGGAATACAGCTCTAGGTTATCTGGTGACTTTTCTGCCACACTTCATATGGCTCCTTCTCCCCAGATGCCTCGATTCCTCAGTTCAAACCTGAAATCCAGGTCTATGAGAACATCCACTTGGCCCATCTTAGGTGAGGAACAACTAGGGGACAGAGGTTTAAATCCCCAAGGGGACTGGGGTTGGGGTGGAATGAGTCCTTGTTCCTGAGGGGGTGGAGAATGGAAGTATCCTTAATCTGTCTTTCTGTTTCACAAAACTCACAGCCCACCTGCCCCTAAGATCAGATGATCTCGGTGGCATCTGCTGGAAAGTGACCTGCTGTCTCCCTGGCCACGTGGCACCTGAAGGATTCCCTGAAAATCTTGTCAAGGGGGGAGGGGCTGAGAGTGCTACTTTACAGTCTTGCTGGTCTCCAGCAGACAAGCTGTGTGTATGTGTGTGTGTGGGGGTGGGGCGCTGAGCCTGAAGTCATGGGATTGAGGGGAGCTTGGTGGCCGGCAGGGGTGAGGAGGGGTGGAGATAGACAGAGAGGAGAGAGAGGAACCCAGGACTTGAGCAGCGGTGGAGAACCAGGCACGGAGGAACCAGGGGACAAGTGGGGGAAACTGAGGAAGAGAAAAGGGAAGAGACTCAAGTCAGAGTGAGGGATGAGATGTTCAGAAAGAGAAAAATAGAAGCACAGAGTGGGAGGACTGAGGGACAGAGAGAGTGGGAAGAAAACTCAAGTTGCCTCTAAATTAAGTCAGCAGCCCCATAGTCACAAAGAAGAGAAGAACTGAAAGGAAACAAGCACCTTTAATTAGACCTCAGGCTTCCTCAGATGGAAGGGGTGGGAACTGGGTCACTATGGGGGTGTCCATGCTCGGCCCCCACCCGTCACCCTCCTTATCCTAGGCTCTCCATTGTAGCATCCGGAGCAGTAAGTCGCTTATGTCACCCTGACATCCTGGGATCCCAGAGTCACACACTATCTCCCTTGGCAGGAGTGTCCACAGGGCGGGAGGGTGCATTCCCTGACTGGGTGTGCCATCGGGCCCTGCATGCTGGGCTGTCTGTGAACCATGGACAAGTCTGGGCTGGTGAAGCAGGAGGGCCCAGTGAGGCTCCCAGCTTGCCCATTCCCCAGGCTCAGGCAGAAATGAGCTGGACTTCCAGCCACACCCCCACAAGCAACTCCAGCAGGCTCCCTTTTGTGTTATCTGCATGAGCTTAGGCCTCGCTGGAGGAAAGCTTTCTTGGAGTCTCATCTAAACCCTCCACTCTGCCATGGCTTCAGCTAAGCTATTGACACGAATGACACTGATGAGAGCCAGGTGAAAGTTATGGTTCAGCCTGGCTGGCGTGGCTCAGTGGCTGAGCATCGACCTATGATCCAGAAGATCGCGGTTCGATTCCCAGTCGGGGAACATGCCCAGTTGTGTGCAGGAGGTAGCCGATCAATGATTCTCTCATTATTGATGTATCTCTCTCTCTCTCTCCCTCTTCCTCTCCCTTCCTCTCTCTGAAATCAATAAAGACATATAAAAAATTTTTAAAAAGTTATGGTTGAGGCTCCAGCACGCAGCACAACCCACCAAACAGCGACAGTTTGCTTTTAGAGAACACACACACACACACACACACACACAGAGCAGTGTTACCAGACCCCCAGATAGCCCTTTATTAAATTTACCCTTCATAGTTCCCCAAGCCCTCCTTCTAAGTTCCTCACCTACCAAATTAACCTTCCCTAGCAAAACTCCCCTCTTCTCCACACATGGTGCCCCTTTCATCCCCTTGCCTGGAACCCACAGCTCCATCAAACACCTGCCTTGCCAGAGACCTGGGGCTGAAGGAGGGCATCAGCATCAGGCATCTAGAAAAGACAAAAGACACAGGACAGGTGTTTTTTATGAGGCTGGGCTCTGGGCAGGCTGCTGTAAGGGGCTGGAGCAGTGCCCATAGGAATCAGGTCTTGGAATGAGTCTGCAAAGGTGTTGGGCCAGGGATCTGAGGCTTCTACAAAATCAGGTTCTTGGCCATATCACAAAAGTGTTTGGGCAGGTGTTTCCAGAGCTGTGGTGATGGTGGAGGAGTCCTGGGTTAAGAGCTGCAGATCGGAGTGAGACTAGAGGAGGAGATGACCTCCCCAGGTAAAGCTGGCCATGAGAAGCAGGGTGGTGAGGAGGGCGCTGGCTGGCCACTGCAGCCTGATGGCCACATTGCACAAGTCCTGGTCGCAGCAGTGGTGCCGCAGAGTGTAGGGGTGTGACCAGTAGGTGGCGTTGCCGGGCAGAAGGCACTGTGCTCTTGGGAGGCAGCCTCTCCGCTGGATGATCTCGCTCTGCCCTGTGGGACAAAGGGGGTCTGCTGAGGCAGGCGCAGCAGGAAAGGCAGGGCAGGTGGAAGCAGGGAACGGCCTGGATTAGGGCCACTGGGCCAGAGCCCTACCTGAGGTGCCAGTACTGATGCCACAAGCTTCATCATCCTGACACTCAGTGGGAACGGGGTAGCAGGGTTTTGCAAAGCTGCAGGTGTAACAGTGGAGCCGCCCCTGGGCAGGGGAAGTGGTGAGACCTGTGAGGTTGGTGGAGATCGTGAGGGCGGGAGGGGCGGCAGCAGGCCAGGTGAGAGACAGCCAAGATCCTGCGGGCTGGGGCAGGGACGCAGGGAGGCAACACACGGAGTGAGGAGAGGGGAGCACTGGCACGGAGCGAGAGGGGCAGGCAGAAGCAGGAAAGAGACGCAGAGAAGGCAGGGAGACAGGAAAAGAGAAAGACAAGAGGCGGGAGGGATACAGCGATTGTGAGAGGCACAGACGCGAACAGAAGCCAAGAGAATCAGAGACCAACTTAGAGAATGACAGAAGCCAGCGTTACGGGAGGCGGCGATGAAGAAGTTAAGCAGATGGTGCCGGAGACAGATGAGAAAATTGGAACTGACATTTCCCAAGGGGCCCAGCAAAGAAGCGAGAGGTGAGATAGGGACAGGGGAGACAGAGGCTTGTCAAGATGCCAGGAGGAAGACAGCCATTCTCCAGTGCGTCCATAAGGAACTTTACCACGCTGGCCTGAGGCGTACCCAGCAGGTCTTCTTTCTAAAGCTCTCACAACTCTCTTCTTGGCATCTCTCAGACCCCTCTGCCCCCCAGCCCTCAGTGTTTTCCATGACCCCCTGCCCTAGCCACCCACCCCAGCCTGCTGCCCCAGAGTATCCCCAACCCCCCTTACCCGGTGCCCCGCAGAAGAACACGATGCAGAGGAAGGTGGTGGAGGTGCCCATGGCTGGATCCAGGGCGCAGGAGCCCAGGGGAAAGTGACCTGCACCTGAGTTCCCCAGGCTGGAGAGTAGAAGCATCTGAGTGAGACAGGGAGGGACCAGTAAACAAACACACCTAGGGAGTGAACCTGGAGGTTGGGAGTGGGGAGCAGAACCAGGCCAGATTCACCAGCCTCATCAGCAGGGGCCCTGGCCCTCTGTTCCCACACCCCACAACTCCTTGCCCCCTACTGAAGTATGCTCTTGTCGTTAGGGTCATCTCTGTCCTCTCAGCTACGTCTGAGCTCCAAAGTTGTGTCTGTTACCTTGCCTCCTACTCCTCTCCCTTCCCAACCCTTGTCTCAAGCTGTTCTCTGCTCTCTCAACTCTGCTCTATGTCTCAGCTTTCTCTTTTCCCCTTCGGTGCATTTAAAGCTCTCAGTGTCACCCTCCAAACAGCCCTGGCCCAGATCCACTTGAGTGTGGAATCAACAACACCCCCTCCACCCCCCACCACAAAACCCAGCTGCTTAAGGAAGGGCCTCACGCAACTTCAGATGCCTTTGATCACCCCAAGCCCCAACATCCCTACCCCATAATCATCTCTCCCAGCTTTACTACCTGGGAGGAAAGAATTAGTTATACTCGGGGTCAGAGGGTCGGATGTGTTTCCACTGGGGCAGGTCAGCGTGGGGAGAGGTCATAAAGACTAGGAAGAAATGCAGGAATAAGATTTGGGGGGCAGTAGCAGAGTCTGGAAGACAGGGGTTAAAGAGCCTGGGGAGGAGGACAGCCACATCTGGAGCGTGGGGCAGGAATATCCCAGGAGAACAGGATGGGTGGGGCAGACAGAGGAGGCACATCTCTCACAGAACAGCAGCGTCCTCACTTCTTGTCTCTGGACCTCTTTAAGCTCTCGAAGGTCACTGAAGACCCCAAGAGCCTTTCTTAGTGATTATATTAACATTTACCCTATTAGAAATCAAAACATAACATTTAAAATAGTTTCACTTAAACATTAAAATAACAAACCTACTACATGTAAACAAAACATATTTTTGTGAAAAAAACCTTCTTTCCCAACAAAGATGGCTGGGTTTTCATATTTACTTCCACATTCAATCTGTTGGGATATGCTGGTCTGGTTGGTGTGTATGAGGAAAATAGGATCACACACAGGTATGTGGTAGGAAAAAGAAGACCATTGAGGACCCTCTGAAAGGGCCTCAGAATTGCTGCTAAGGATGGAGGAGCTTAAGGACTCTAGAGGATGCTGAGAGCATTCTCCCGTGGGGGCTCCTCCCTGTCCCCGCTGGGGCCCCAGTGCCTCCCTTTTTATTGCCCTATAAAGCCCAGGGGAAGGGGGATATAAGGCTGGCAGAGCAGGGCCAGGGAAGGGGCCGTGGGAGAGAGAGACGCCACTGACCCAGGAAGACACAATGAACCCCCTCTTTGTAGGGCTGCTGCTCGGCACCTTCCCAGAGGCCATCTTGGGTAAGAAGGCAGCCAAAGCCCCTGTCACTCAAGCCGGTCCCCCTCCGCCAGCCGGCCTCCCTGAGAACCCAGGTCCAGCACCTCCTCTCTCCTGCCAGGACACTGCATGCCGTGCTGTGACTACAGTGGCAGAGGCCCCAGCAGCTCCTGCAAAGAGACTGAGACCACCTGTGGTGAGGGCGAAGGCTGTGGCTTCCTGGAGGTCCAACCCCAACCCGGCCTGGGGCAGAGCAAGCTGTCTGGGAACCGTGAGTGCTCAGTTTCTCCCTCTTCCCCAGCCCTTTCCTGCTTCCAGAACCTTCCAGGATCAGGCTGGGTCTGGGCAGACAGTGCCAGTGGCAGAGAGCTCTCTGTAGCCCCTTCTGTGGTTCCTGGCACTGAGCCCTTCAGGAGCCCCTGTCTGCTGTCTGTGTGGGCCCCCCACCCCATCTTTGCTCTCCAGAATCTCACAGGCCCACTCACTCACACATGGTTGAAAAATCTCGGTCCCTTGAAAGCAGGAACCAGAATATTAAACCGAACTTTCGGGCATCAGCTAAGGACCAGGGAGTTTTAATTTTTATTTTAAAATAATTTTGGATTGACAAAAGAGTTGTAAATATAATACAGAGAATTCCTGTATATCCTTCACCCAGCTTCCTCTAATGTTAGCACATGGGGATTAGAAGTGTAGACCCTCGGCTCGGTCGAAAATCTGGGTATACCTTTTGACTCCCCCAAAACTTAACTATAGTCATCCTTGTTATCCGAGGGGGATTGGTTTCAGTACACCACCCCCGCCCCCTTGCAGATACCAAAACACCCCACGCTCAAGTACCCTATATAAAAGGGCAGTTGGCTCTCTGCCTCCACAGATTCCCAACTGTGGACCACAAATTCTGTGTGTGTTTTTGTTTTTTAAATCCTCACCTGAGAATATTTTTTCCATTGCTTTTCAGAAAGACTGGGCGAGAGAGAGAAACATCGATGTGAGAGAGACACATCGATTGGTTACCTCCTGCACACACCCAGGGGACTGGGCCTGCAACCCGGGTACATGCCCTTGGCTGGACCCTGCGGTCCACTGGCCGACACTCTAACCACTGAGCCAAACCAACTAGGGCTGAAAATACTGTTTTCAGTCTGCAGTTGGTTGAATCCGCAGATGTGAAACCCAGAAAAGGAGGGCCAACTGTATATTTTTCAGGGGAAGATCTTTGTATAAGTGGGCCCACACAGTGTAAATCTGTGTTGTTCAAGGGCCAACTGCACAATTAGCAGAATCAGAAAGTAACATTGGTATAATGCTGCTAACTGATCTGCAGACTATATTCAACTTAGCCGGTTGTCCCAAGGCCCAAACCAGAAGCCCACGTTGCATTTGGCTCTCGTGTCTTTTTAGCTGCCCCCAATCTGTGACAGTTCTGCGTCTTTATCTTCCATGACCTTGACACTTTTGAAGAGTCCTGGTAAGTTATTTTATAGAATGCCCCTCAATTTGGATTTATCTGGTATTTTCTCACAGTTAGATTGAGCTCAAGCTCTTGGCAAGAACAGCACAGACGTGATGTTGGTCCTCTCCAGGGCATCACGCCAGCAGTTTCACAATGGCAGTGATCACTTTGATCACTTGGTTTTTAGGGAGGTGGTTTTTGAGGGAGCAGAGAGTCCCTTGAAATCACATCTCCTCTGCCCCCGAAGGCAAGTCCTCCAGCCAGGAGGCTAACACCTGTCTCATTTTCTCTCTCAGCTTCAGTGACCCTGCCTCATCACTATCCAGCCTGCGCCGTAACCCACCATTGCCATCAAGTGAAAACAGAGTTGGTGGGAGATGGGACTTACACAGCCCACAGGGACTGCTGCGTCGGAGACCTGTGCAGCAGTGCTGTGGCGAGAGCTGTGACCCCGGCCTGCATCTTGGCTGCAGCAGGCAGTGCCCTGGCCTGGGTCTTGCCAGGGCTGTGGAGAGGGTAATGGGAGTAGAGGATGGGAAAGGAGCAAGGTAATGAAGGAGCTCTGAGGTGAGAAGACACACACTCCTCTGTGAGCCATTAAAATCTATCCACCACTCTAGAGCTGACTGGGAAATTCCACCTCTCTTTGGTTGATGGGAGGGCTGAAGGAGTCATATCGGGCATTCCGGCTCTAGTTTCAGGCTTATGATGATGCACTCCTTAACCAACCCAACCCCAAAGACAATGGAGAATCTGCCCTAAGTAACTCCTGGACCTTGTTGCTAGGGAGAACCTTCCTTAGCAATGAGGATCGCCCTGGGGAGCAGGCTCTGGGCTGAGTGGGCCTCACCAGAATCAATGAGCCTGGTTGTCTGGCTGGTTCTCCTTTCCCCTACTTACAGCCTGGCTCCCAATAGGACTCTTTTGAATTGAGAAAGGAAATAAATGTAAGCCTGTGATAGAGGCTTTCTCAGTGCCCCACTTAGTAACCACGCCAGGTGAGGCCTCTGACTCTACCCTTGGGGCTGATGCCTGGAAAGAGGGTCCTGGGCCCCATCCCCATGCAACTCTCCTACCCTTTTTGGGGAGCCCTCAAGCCAGGCTGCACCTCCTTCTTGGCAGTACCTCAAAGGTGTGACCTAAATTTGAGATAAGGATTGTCTCCACACACTGGGACCTGTGTGCCACCCCCAGGTGCTGGGACGATGGAGGCTGGAAAAACCTGTTTCTCAGTTTGCCTCAGCCCAGCGTTCCAGGGAAACTCCCTCAAGGGTTCTTGGGTAAGGGTGGGGGCCGAGAGTGTTATTTTCTGGGAAGGGGCCTCTGACAATAAATGCACGACTTATCAGACACAGGCATTTATTACTCAAAATGGAAAGAGGTGAGCAGGGGGAGGGGGTACAGACAGCAGACAGGGTTTGGGGAATCAGCCCCATACAGTGAGGTCATCAGGTCTTTCCTTGGAGCCTTCACTGGGGTAAGGCCCAGACCCCAATCCCTCCCTAAATAGGGCACAATAGAGTGCAAGAGACAAAGGGGGGGCTCTCCTGGGGGCCAGTGGAGGATCTGGAGTGGTCTAGAGGGAAATGGGAAGGGACCTGAGAAAAGCAGAGAGGAGGGCATGGGGTGGAATGATGGATAGGGAAACCACTGTTAATTAAAGAAATGTGAAGGGTCTGGAGAAATGTTTTTCCGAGCAAAGGAGGCTAGGGAGAGACCATTATGGGAAGCCAGGGGATGTGGAGACACAGGGAGAGAGGCTCAGGCTAAGGCAGGGGGAGGAGGGGCAGCCATGTGTCAGTGCAGCAACCAGAGGCCAAGGCCAGCCAAGGAGGTGAGGAGGACCAGGGCCAGGGCCGGGGTGGGCCGAGGGGCTGGGCTGTTGCAGTTGTCCTTGTTGCAGCAGGTGGTATTATAGGTGAGGCCCAGCTTGTGGTTGGTTTGGTTGAAGGCCTCCCGACAGGGCTCTTCAGGCGTGCCACAGCGAAGGTTGGAGAAAACCCACATCTTGCCTGGGAATAGGAGTGGGCAGTGGTGTTGACTGGGACGGGCACCTGGGGTGCCCGTGTCCACCTCCCCCCCATGCATTCACCCAAGCTTCCTTCCTTCCCAACTCTGCCCCAGCTTTTCCCTTCTTTCTCGCCTCAGTCTAATCTTCCTCCTGCACTGCCTCTCACCCCAATCCTGGTCCCATCGTTTGCTGGCCGTGATGCCTGAGGCCTGTTACTGTCTCTTTCTGAGGCTGTTTCCTCAATATAACAACAGCCACATCATAGGGTTGTGATGAACATTAATTGAAAAAATCCATGTAGAGACACAGAATGGGGCTTGGCACGTAATAATTTTTGGCCGAATGTTCTCATTGCTGTCATTCTGTTCCATCTCAGCCTTAACCCCAGCTGGGCCTCAGCCTCAGCAATAGAGTCTCCCACCCACCCCCTGTCCCCACTAAATAAGGGGATATTACCAAGGTACACATTTGTTGTCAGACATTTCTGTCCTTGTTCCAGACGGCAGGACTGCCGGTCCACACAGCCCAGCACAGGGACCTTGTAGCAGGAATGACAGCGAATGTCAGCTGGGAAGACACAAATCAGGCTGAGGTGATGGGGTGTCTGACTTACCTGGGCCTAAGGCAAGCCAAGGGGTAGGGTGGAGAAGATCCCGTGCAGTAAGTGTTCTGACTTGTTTGGTCTGGGAGGGACAGAGCAGGTGAGTGATAGAGAAAAAGTGGAAGTGGGTGAGGGTGGAGTTGTTGCTCTTCGAATGGCCCACACCCTAAATACCTTCCTCCACTCCACTCCATCTGAGGATGAGTCAGGAGGGGCAGAGCTACCAACAACAACACAGGGCTGGGGACAGATGGAAAGTGAGAATTCCATGAGATGGAGGAGGTGGGGAAGAAGGTGAAAGGATTTAGAAGACGTCACAGATAGAGACTTGAAATAGGAAGAAATATTAAAAATAAAAATCATGGCCCAGCAGGGCGTAGCTCAGTGGTTGAGCATCCACCTAGGATCCAGAAGATCATGGTTCGATTCCTGGTCAGGGCACATGCCTGGATTGCGGGCTCGATCCCCAGTTGGGGGCATGCAGGAGGCAGCTGATCAATGACTCATCATTGATGTTTCTGTCTCTCTCCCTCTCCCTTCCTCTCTCTGAAATCAATAAAGATATATTTTTTTAAAAATCATGGAGGAAACAAATGCAAGAAGTGGTTTGGAACTTGAGGCTAGAAAGAAAGCCACACGAGTCCAGCTTTAGCTATTCACACTTCCCCTCCTGTGCCTGCCCAGAGTGTAGAAAGAAGTACCAGACCTGAACTGAATCCTCTCACCCCAGGAGCTCATTGTCAGAAAGGAATACTATCTGGGGGACAGATCATCAGACTCCCACCTGGGTACAGAAGGTGGCACCTCCAAAATTTCTGCCTCAGCTAATTTAAGGTTTGGGCATGCAAGGTTTGGTGGAGGGATTTGGTCTAAGGGTGGAGAAGCCTGTGACTACACCTCAGTGAAACCTACCTCACCCTGGGGGTAAGCAACCCTGGCATTGCCTCCCTAGAAGGCTGGGGAAGTCTCCCTGGTTCCCTAGGAGGTTCTAAGAGGCCACTGGCACCCACCCTCCAGAAAGCTTATGTCCCTTGGGGTATGCACCCCAGGGAGGAGCAGGGGGAGACTAGGAAAGGCCACTGCTTGAGGGACAGAGCATGAAGTCCCAGATGGAGTAGATGACAGGTGGGTTCCTAGAAGCTCCAAGTTGGATGCCTAGGTTTCTGGGAGGACACCCTACTGAGTGCAGGTGGAGAGAGGAGAAAGCAGGTAAGCTGGATCCTGGAGAGTTTTGTACTGGAGTGGGGCTGGCAGGGGAACTAGATATTAGGGTTTCCAAGAAGGGGGCATCTTGGAGTGGGGAAGGAGGACCTGGAACCCTGGCTGGATAGAAGAGTGGGTCTTGGGGGAGTCTGAAGAATAGAGACATGGGTCCTTGAGAAATGGAGCAAGGACCCTGTCACAGGGAGGCCTGGTTCTGGAGGCACAGGAGGGCTCAGTCAATTGGGGCC